AGAATAAATGCTGCAGCTCCAACTATCAAACTGCATGCATATGACAAATTACAAGATTTGGCGAAAGTTCATATAATTTCATAATTGTTTTGTTTTTTAAAGATATTCATTAACATATTTGAACATATATATTTATAAATGCTACACTCTCACAAGTCATCCTCGACAGCCCCCTCATGATTGTGTTCCAATGACATCATACCTTAATGGTCAATTTCTGTTCTTTCATTCTCTCCCCCCCCCCCCCCCCCCTCATACCCCCAAAATCTGACTCAAACCATGACACTCATTGCACTCTCATTTCATTTCATTTGATTTACTCTCAAACCTCTTCTGGCATACCTTTGCTCATTAACTTCAAAGTGAACAAAACATACATTTCAGTTTTGATAAAATGCTTAATTTATTTACAGTTCTGAATTCATAAGTTAAATTATAATTTTTTTGCAGTTTCAATATATATATATATTAATTCACTTAACGGCCTTGTACTATACAATTTATCCATGAATACTGAAAAAAAGAATAAACTTTCAGTTTAAACAAATTGCATATAGAAATGTCAGTTGTGAATATAAGAGAATAAGTGATTAAGATTGAACATTCAATAAGTCATACTAGGAGTGGCACCAGGGTATTTTGTTAGGGAGGGAAAAACAGTCACTTTGTTATACGAGAATGGAAGAAAGGAAAAAGAAAAAGAGACTAGGTTACCCCTAGCTCTGCCAGGAGGTGAGGAATATTATTTTCAAATCTCAGATACAAGGTATATCAAGGAGACCTCTGCCCTGCTTACCCCCTGTGTTGCTGTGTCCGTATCATACAACTTTCTTTCTATCTTTTTTTAAGAAAGCACTGTCAAATTTAATTTCCCTTATATTCTCAATTAACATCAAGTATCACTGATAAATGCAAGGGCCTTCATTCAATGTCATTTACAGAACATAGATTTTCTTTGATTTCAAGACATAAGCCAACATCTAATTTTGTAGATATACAATTATTGATAATAATCCAGAATAAAAAATAAAGCATTTATTTGGAAAATGAAGTACCTCATACAACTTTCAGAAAAATAATTTAAAATCTTCTTACATCCCAGTCATATAAAACATGTATACAACCAATAGTGTACCTTTCATGTATAGAATGCTGTTAGATTTTCTCTTCAGTTATTTTGTTTGTTAAACTTTATAGAAGATGGTAACAACTTAACTAAAATAAATGTACACAATTTATAATTCAATTCATCATATCAATTCTCTCCTGAAAAGACCTGCTATCTATTTTAATTGTGAATGCGTTAGAATTAGTCAAAACATCAATTACCTCCATCTCCACTATAAATGTTTAGGTACTAATTAATGACTGCAATAGGAATGATCAATTCATATATACAACTTCAATTTCATTTCAAGGATCGCCATCCCCACAGCGACACAATCACTGTTATATTTTATTGTTATAAAGAAAAGTAATAACAAATTGGTTATCTGGCATGTTTTCACTAACCAAAGTAGATACATTGTCTTACTCAAGAACAAAAGTATGCATTCTAGTAATTAGTTTAAGGCGAAAGGTGCCGTACTCTGGATCTATTCTGTGACTGGTAATACAACCAGTCCAGAATTCAATGACCATCACTGTGACAGCACAAGTCCTGCTAAACATCGATATGCAATAGTTTTAGAAAACAGTAACAGTTGGCCTTAATCTGGCAGTTTTCCAAGACCAAAGTAGATAAATGGTCATACTCAACAACAAAAGTATGCATTCTAGGTAATTAGTTTAAGGGGAAAAGTGCCGTACTTTGAATCTATTCTGTGACTGGTAATACAACCAGTCCAGAATTCAATGACCATCACTGTAACAGCACAAGTCCTGCTAAACATCGATATGGAATAATTTTAGAAAAGAGTAACAGTTGGCCTTAATCTGGCAGTTTTCCAAGACCAAAGTAGATAAATGGTCATACTCAACAACAAAAGTATGCATTCTAGGTATTAGAGTAAGGGGAAAAGTGCCGTACTCTGGATCTATTCTGTGACTGGTAATACAACCAGTCCAGAATTCAATGACCATCACTGTGACAGCACAAGTCCTGCTAAACATCGATATGCAATAGTTTTAGAAAAAAGTAACAGTTGGCCTTAATCTGGCAGTTTTCCGAGACCAAAGAAGATAAACGGTCATACTCAACAACAAAAGTATGCATTCTAGGTATTAGTTTAAGGGGAAAAGTGCCGTACTCTGGATCTATTCTGTGACTGGTAATACAACCAGTCCAGAATTCAATGACCATCACTGTGACAGCACAAGTCCTGCTAAACATCGATATGCAATAGTTTTAGAAAACAGTAACAGTTGGCCTTAATCTGGCAGTTTTCCAAGACCAAAGTAGATAAATGGTCATACTCAACAACAAAAGTATGCATTCTAGGTAATTAGTTTAAGGGGAAAAGTGCCGTACTTTGAATCTATTCTGTGACTGGTAATACAACCAGTCCAGAATTCAATGACCATCACTGTAACAGCACAAGTCCTGCTAAACATCGATATGGAATAATTTTAGAAAAGAGTAACAGTTGGCCTTAATCTGGCAGTTTTCCAAGACCAAAGTAGATAAATGGTCATACTCAACAACAAAAGTATGCATTCTAGGTATTAGAGTAAGGGGAAAAGTGCCGTACTCTGGATCTATTCTGTGACTGGTAATACAACCAGTCCAGAATTCAATGACCATCACTGTGACAGCACAAGTCCTGCTAAACATCGATATGCAATAGTTTTAGAAAAAAGTAACAGTTGGCCTTAATCTGGCAGTTTTCCGAGACCAAAGAAGATAAACGGTCATACTCAACAACAAAAGTATGCATTCTAGGTATTAGTTTAAGGGGAAAAGTGCCGTACTCTGGATCTATTCTGTGACTGGTAATACAACCAGTCCAGAATTCAATGACCATCACTGTGACAGCACAAGTCCTGCTAAACATCGATATGGAATAGTTTTAGAAAACAGTAACAGTTGGCCCTAATCTGGCAGTTTTCCTAGACCAAAGAAGTTAAACGGTCATACTCAACAACAAAAGTATGCATTCTAGGTATTAGTTTAAGGAATAAAGTGCTGTACTCTGGATCTATTCTGTGACTGGTAATACAACCACTCTAGAATTCAATGACCATCACTGTGACAGCACAAGTCCTGCTAAACATCGATATGCAATAGTTTTAGAAAACAGTAACAGTTGGCCTTAATCTGGCAGTTTTCCAAGACCAAAGTAGATAAATGGTCATACTCAACAACAAAAGTATGCATTCTAGGTATTAGTTTAAGGGGAAAAGTGCCGTACTCTGGATCTATTCTGTGACTAGTATTACAACCAGTCCAGAATTCAATGACCATCACTGTGACAGCACAAGTCCTGCTAAACATCGATATGGAATAGTTTTAGAAAACAGTAACAGTTGGCCCTAATCTGGCAGTTTTCCTAGACCAAAGAAGTTAAACGGTCTTACTCAAGAGCAAAAGTATGCATTCTAGAGATCTGATATGTGACTGTATGAAAACAAGTCCAGCAGACAACACAAAGTGTGACGTGTAATGACTGTCGAATAAACTTCCCTGCTTAGTTTAAGGGAAAAAGTGCTGTACTCTGGATCTATTCTGTGACTGGTAATACCAGTCCAAAATTCAATGACCATCACTGTGACAGCACAGGTCCTAGCTGCCAAACATTAGTATGGAATATGTTAAAACAATGACAACTGGTCATAATCTGGCAGTTTTCCAAGACAAAAGTAGATAAATTTTCTTACTCAAGAACAAAAGTATGCATCCTAGAGAGTTGATATGTGACTGTATCAAAACGATTTCAGCATACAGTCCACAGTGTGTCATTCAGCACCTTTACTATAAAAGCCTGGTTTAAGTGTTAATAATTAAATATTATAATGTCTCCACCTAACCTGTCAAATTTATGAAAATGTATTGCTCATCAATTAATATTTCTCAAAAATAAAAGAAAAGGTTTTTCGAAGCATATCTAAAGATTGATAGCGGAATGAACTTCCCTGCTTACTTTAATGAGAGGTGCTGTACTCTGTTAAGGAGAGGTGCTGTACCGGCTCTGGATGCATCTTGAAATTTCTGGAAGAAAAGACACAAGTAATCATTATCATGGCTTTTTTTCTAAAAATATAGATAAATTGTATTACTCAAGAGCAAAAGTGCCATTCTAGGAATTTGATCTGTAACTGCATGAAAACAAGTCTAGCGTACAATCTACAGTGTCACATACAATGTGTGACGTGTAATGACTGTGGAATAAACGTCCCTGCTCAATTTAGGAGGAAAAGTGCCATACTCTGGATCTATTCTGTGACTGGTAATACAACCAGTCCAGAATTCAATGACCATCACTGTGACAGCACAAGTCCTGCTAAACATGAGTTTTAGAAAACAGTAACAGTTGGCCCTAATTTGGCAGTTTTCCAAGACCAAAGTAGATAAATGGTCATACTCAACAACAAAAGTATGCATTCTAGGTAATTAGTTTAAGGGGAAAAGTGCCGTACTCTGGATCTATTCTGTGACTGGTAATACAACCAGTCCAGAATTTAATGACCATCACTGTGACAGCACAAGTCCTGCTTATTATTGATACAACTTTTTTTTTTACTGGTTGTTAATTTACCTGACTGCTAAGAAAGCATAAATGCTTGTTAGTAAGTAAACAACCAGGGGATCGACGGCTTTAGGTCCTCTCGTTTCTACTCAATGCATCTTAAAATTCCTGGTAGAATAGCTGCAACTAGTAACCAAGATCAGAGCAAAAGTGTGCATTCTAAAGATTTGATATGTGAATGTATCAAAACGAGTTCAGCATACAGTCCACAGTGTGACATTCAGCACCTTTCCTGTAAAAGTCTAGGTGTAGCTGTGTTAATAAGTAAATGTTAAAATGTCTCCAATTTATCTAAAGTTACTGCTGATCAATTCATATGTTATCAACAATAAAAGATTCGTTTTTTTTAAGTATATCAAAAGACTGAAAGTGGAATATACTTCCCTGCTTATAGTTGAAAGGGAAAAGGGCCATACTCTGGATCTATTCTGTGACTGGTAATACAACCAGTCCAAAATTCAATGACCATCACTGTGACAGCAGTACAGGTCCTAATTGCAATGCATCTTATTATTCCTTTAAGAAATGACACAATGAATTGTTAACTGGCACAGTAAGATTTACACAAATGAAGCTTTCAAAAAGCCATTCATGCGGTTGCAAACCATGATAGCAATTGCAATCTAAATAGTACACTAAGAATTACTGACTGCACATATCAGTCAGGTACAGTTATGTGATTCTAGTTAAATTAAATGCAGACAAGAGATGCTGGACCATTATCTGCATGGAAAAATAATTGCAATTGTTACTACAGCACAGTTTGTTGCCCGTGTTAAAAAGAAAAAACCTAATACACATGTATGTGAATAAAGTTACTTAGCTTCTTTCAGAAGTATGCCTCGATCACCTTCCTTCTGATGAAAAATGTAACTGGAGAATCTGTTTATAACAAATACAAATATAGGAAAATTAATATGTATATTCAGTGCTTCAATGAGGAAGATTTTCGTAGTATTCAACAAGTTCTGGTTGAATTATCACTGGAGTAGATCCCCTGCACAGACTGACGAGGTCACCATACTTCTCCTGAGAGAGCTTCGGTCTACTCTCATAAAGCTGACCAGGAAGCTGTAGAGACTGTGCAGGGTTTCTACGACGACCCTGGCCTATAGAGAGTGTGTTATACTGATCCTGTAAATGTGAAGTCTTGAAAAAGATTTGCATGGGACATTCCTTCTTGAGCTGAACCTGTTTGAACATAGTCCAGTCTACAGAAACACCCTCATCCGATGTCCTCGTTCTAAGAATACCCAGCTGCTGGGAGTATGATCGCCAGGACAAGATGTCTTGGGTCCTGACACACTTGACCCTGTAAGGACCTGGGTTTGATCTAGCTTCTCTGATGATGGAGGAAAGTTGGACAGGGTGCATAAGTTCATGTGATTTTGAGAGCCTTTGCTCTATATGGGAATGGATTGAATCACACTCACTTTGCCCTTGGCATTTCTCAAAGTAATGAAAAGTGATTGCTGCTACATTTGTACATTCCTTCATGAAAGCCATAGCCATTGCTGGCAGGACCGAATTTCTGTTTTGACCAGCACATCCATCGCTGTAGAAGTCTACTTCCTTTACGCCTTTTTTGTCAACTTCTCTGAGGTAGTCTAGAAGGTAGGAAGCAATTTCATTCGATCCTCTTTTAGTTATTGTTTCATTAGACAAGTAACAAAGTCCATCTCTTTTTTCAAAATCATATACAGTCAAATTGTAACAAGCAAGTCATCTCTTATAGAATATTTCACTTCTATTGGACTTTGGCAAGTACATGACTTGTTGAAGGTCAAATACAGCACTGGCAAACTGGTCAGATGAAATTGCTTTCTCTTTGCTCTGTGCCTTCAAACCCCTGACCTTCTCTACCTCTGCCCTATGTGCATCGTATACCTCTTTTAGATCTTCCTTCAGCTGACCCTGAGCATTGGTGTAATTTGAACACAATCCACACATGTCTTTTTTTGGTTTGTGGATCTTGATTTTCATTGATTTCATTGCTTTTACATACGTACTTCGTGAGGCACAATTTCCATGTTCCTTCACAAATAATTGATACATTATTGCCTTTGTGAGGTCTGGAGCAACATAAGTGAATTCTGAATTCGCACGACAATAGTGAGATGGCACTCTTGGGAATTTGTGTAAGTGAGTAATGATCTTTTCCTTTTGTGTGGGATCCAGATTTTGTTTGCCCCCTCGCCTATCTTTTTCCATTGTACCTGTCTTGTTGCAGGTTTTGGCCAAGACCGTTCTTACTTGGCGAGTACTTATGCCGAGTGTAGTAAGAAAAGTCTTTTGGCACACTGGCAATCTATGCCCAGGGTTAATAGGACTTGGCAGGAAATAGGTTAAGTTCTTACGTAATCCTTTCTTGTTAGGAGTAGTGCTGATGTGTCTAGCTATGTACTCCCTTTGCCCAGTCAGAGTACCCAATCCATAGAAATCCTCTCGTACGTTTTTCATGACTTCTTGAGTGATGATGTTACATTCAAGTCTTTTTAGCTCGCACATGTAACTATCACATTTCTTGAATGGCAGATTTTTACGTCCTGCCATTGTTTTTCTTGATTTTTCTGATAGGTAGGGCTCACCTTTGTTTCGAAGTTCCTTAACAATCTTATTTTTTGATTTTACAGATCCAGATTTTGACAAATGCACATTTTCATTGCAGTTTTTCTCATGTTCTTGTACGAGGATTTCATCATAACCATCAACTTGGAAATTCTCAAGATATGGATCTTGGGTATTCAGACCATGGCAATCACATTCTTCACTATTATCAAAATGTTCAAAACATAGTAAAGCTTGGCATCTGAAACAAGCAGCAAACACCTCACCTTCACAAAGGAGGCTTTCACAACTTGGCTGGTCTGGATCATGAATATCTGTTTGTCAAATAGAATGCAGAAATACTTTATATATTAGATAAACTGTGGTTCAAAAAGAAAAAATAGGACACACTTTACAGCCTGATGTTGGTTAAAATTAAATGCTTGAAGTTCTCAGTTTTTTTCTTTTAAGTGAGGAATGTGAGAAAAAAATGAAGTATATTGTGATATTATGAAAAACAGAAATGAACACAATTGTGTGCATGATTTAGATGAGCACAAAGTGTGGAAAGTAATGAACAAAAACGCATAGCTTTATTATACTTCTAACAACAATAAATTTATTACTTTAATTACCTTGTTCCTGCACTGTTGCAGATTTTGGGGGGAGCCTGGGACATTCTTCAAGGAGGGAGTTCTTTTCCAGGTGACTCTGGACTACTGTAAAGGGATGGTCTGGCTGGACGGCACAGCCTTCTCCGCCTTCGATCAGTGTTACCCTTCCTGATATTATGAAAAATAGAAATGAACAAAATTGTGTGCATGATTTAGATGAGCACAAAGTGTGGAAAGTAATGAACAAAAACGCATAGCTTTATCAAACTTCTAACAACAATAAATCTATTACTTTAATTACCTTGTTCCTGCACTGTTGCAGATTTTGGGAGGAGCCTGGGACATTCTTCAAGGAGGGAGTTCTTTTCCAGGTGACTCTGGACTACTGTAAAGGGATGGTCTGGATGGACGGCACAGCCTTCTCCGCCTTCGATCAGTGTTACCCTTCCTGATATTATGAAAAATAGAAATGAACAAAATTGTGTGCATGATTTAGATGAGCACAAAGTGTGGAAAGTAATGAACAAAAACGCTTAGCTTTATCAAACTTCTAACAACAATAAATCTATTACTTTAATTACCTTGTTCCTGCACTGTTGCAGATTTTGGGGGGAGCCTGGGACATTCTTCAAGGAGGGAGTTCTTTTCCAGGTGACTCTGGACTACTGTAAAGGGATGGTCTGGATGGACGGCACAGCCTTCTCCGCCTTCGATCAGTGTTACCCTTCCTGATATTATGAAAAATAGAAATGAACACAATTGTGTGCATGATTTAGATGAGCACAAAGTGTGGAAAGTAATGAACAAAAACGCATAGCTTTATCAAACTTCTAACAACAATACATCTATTACTTTAATTACCTTGTTCCTGCACTGTTGCAGATTTTGGGGGGAGCCTGGGACATTCTTCAAGGAGGGAGTTCTTTTCCAGGTGACTCTGGACTACTGTAAAGGGATGGTCTGGCTGGACGGCACAGCCTTCTCCGCCTTCGATCAGTGTTACCCTTCCTGATATTATGAAAAATAGAAATGAACAAAATTGTGTGCATGATTTAGATGAGCACAAAGTGTGGAAAGTAATGAACAAAAACGCATAGCTTTATTATACTTCTAACAACAATAAATCTATTACTTTAATTACCTTGCTCCTGCACTGTTGCAGATTTTGGGGGGAGCCTGGGACATTCTTCAAGGAGGGAGTTCTTTTCCAGGTGACTCTGGACTACTGTAAAGGGATGGTCTGGCTGGACGGCACAGCCTTCTCCGCCTTCGATCAGTGTTACCCTTCCTTATATGATGAAAAACAGAAATGAACAAAATTGTGTGCATGATTTAGATGAGCACAAAGTGTGGAAAGTAATGAACAAATGTATAGCTTTATCAAACTTCTAACAACAATAAATCTATTACTTTAATTACCTTGTTCCTGCACTGTTGCAGATTTTGGGGGGAGCCTGGGACATTCTTCAAGGAGGGAGTTCTTTTCCAGGTGACTCTGGACTACTGTAAAGGGATGGTCTGGCTGGACGGCACAGCCTTCTCCGCCTTCGATCAGTGTTACCCTTCCTGATATTATGAAAAACAGAAATGAACAAAATTGTGTGCATGATTTAGATGAGCACAAAGTGTGGAAAGTAATGAACAATAATGGCAATAAAGAAAAGTGCAAATGTTGATATACATGGATTATTACATTTTCAGATTACATGCTGCTATAAAGCTGACCGCTACATAAAACAACTTTGGCTGATTTCTAATATTATTCACAGATGGTGTTGTCAGGTGTTAGTTCTAAAGGACAGATTCCATTTGTAGAAACAGAGCTTAACCTTTTGGAGGAAGTAAATACATCACTATATACATCTCAACAATATTGACACCCCTGTAAAGTACAGGCTGAGTTCACTAGTCCTCTTTATTATGTTAAAATAAACATCCATCATAGACTGACAAGGCTTAATGTGTTTTTTAGAATGCTATCACATGTTCATCTAATAAAATGGTCTGGTTTGCTTACGATATGATGCCAATGGTACATTTTCATCATCATCCTCACTATCTTCCTCTTCAGTAATCTCTTCCACCTCAGTATCCATTAGCTCTTCTGCAAGGTGACTCTGGACTACAGTACGAGGCTGTTCTTGTTGGACTGCATAGCCTTGACCTCCTGCACTTAACTCTGTGAAGACTTCCATTTCTGAGGCCAAATAATATGTTAAAACGCAGAGATAATGAGTAACTAGTACACAGTTTTGCCCCAATTTTCAAGAGGTTACTTTCAAACCTGGTAAATGAAATGACCACGAGGTATAGTAGTATAAATCATATATAGAAAATATTATTTCAATGTACAACTTAATACAAGGAAAACTTTATAAACTGAATTAAACCATGTTCCTTGCTGTACCTAACTCACATTTGTTATACAGGTTATATAATGCCTTAAATATCAATATTTTTAGGGCAAGGCCACTTTTCTGTAGGGCACATTCCTATATAACAGCACAAATAGGAAGAATTGGAAAGGGCACAAAAAATCTCCAAGGACAATGGGAGGGGCATTGAGGCCAATCAAAAGGGCATCCACGGCCATGACCTTGGATTAATTTAAGCCATAGCTTGAATTATCCCACAATTTAAATTGCCAGATAAGTTCAATGTTATAGTGATCTCCTTGACGAATTAAGAAAACACAAAGATATAAAAATGCATAGAATCAGTTCATACCTTCGATTTGTGGAATGGAGCAGATGCGTTTCACTGTAATATTAAAGAAAATGAAAACAAATGTGAACAAACATTCCAAATAGTCTTTATCTGGGCCATATGGCTTGAATGAAGAAGAAAAAAGGTTTATTGTATTATATATAGTAAACAAAAACAAAATTTGTATTTTTAACTTGTTGAGGGATGCAGCATATTCTGTTCGATTGCATATAAAACTTGTTAAAGAGAGCGTACAGCCCCCCCCCCCCCCCAATAAAAATAAAGCTGAACTATTTGAAGGCAGTAAATACATCACTACTATACTGTACATCTCAACAATACTGACAACCCCGTAAAGTACAGGCTGAGTTCACTAGTCCTTTTTATTATATTAAAAATAAACATCCATCATAGACTGACAAGTCTTAATGTGGATTTTAGAATGCTATCACATGTTCATCTAAATATAAATGGTCTGTAATTTGATTTACTTACCATATGATGCCAATGGTACATTTTCATCATCATCCTCTTCATCTTCCTCACTATCATCTTCTTCGGTCATGCCTTCCCCCTCAATGTCCATCGGCTCCTCTTCACGGTTAGAGATAATTTGCTCCACCCTCCCTTTCCACCACCCCTTTCTCCATTTCATCTTTACAGTAGCTCCAATTTTCAGGGAAGCATTCTTCCTCAGCACCAGGTCGTTCAAGGCCACTGTGTTTTTGGACTTGTCGCGGTCCCACTGGACCACCACATCAATCTCATCCATGCAAGGATTTGTTCCTAGAATAAAAACAAAACAAAAAAATGTAAAGAGTTAGACAGAAAGGCGGTTTATTTTTAACCCATGGTTTAAACCCTCATTTACATAACCCTTGGTTTCGAATTAGTGCCACTTAAGCGTACCTTGCCTAGCACAGGTCTAATATTAGACCTTGGACTGTGTCACGCTTATTTTGCGTTAATTTTAGACCATGGGTCATGTAAATGAAGATTTAAACTATAGATTAAATTTAAACCTCCTTTGTAAGTTTGGGCCTAAAAGTAGGAATCTTGCCTCTACTAGATGAACTTCACAATGCTTCCTATTTTCTAACACTCATGTAGATCTATCCAAAAATAATTTTGGTGAGCAAGCTTTCCTAGATATAAAAATAGATCTAGATCTAGAGGTCTATATCAGATTTAATGTACATATCTAGGCCGTAGCCATCACATCAACACATTTGAGGATCTAGACTAGTATAGACATGCAAATCTAACTCAATAGCTTCATGTATGGAGTTCATGTAGAGGTCTAGATATATACTAGAATATAGGCCTAGATCCTAGTAGTACTAGTCTAGACTACAAAAAACTTTATTTAGTAGACTAGATTCTAGGTCTAGAATCTAGTCTAGAGCTACTATTAACAGGTAGGGTCTAGAGTCTATACAGTACATCTATTACCGTTTTATTACGCTTTCTCTTGTTAAATCTTTTCACTCAGTTGTGAACTAGAGTCTAGTATGAGACAACCTTGTTACCATTGCCATTGATAATAGATCTATTAACAAAAGAAAAAGTAGGTCTTACTTTTAGATTCTAGATCTACAAAAACAAAAAACAATGACGTCCACACCATGCACCAGACAGTAACAACAAAATGAAAGATATTTGTCCGATCTTTACTTTGTTAACTTAATTTATTCAAGACAATTTAACTCTAGCATGACACTGACGTTCGAAATACAGCTATAATTACAGTCATCATATCTCTAGTAGGCTAGATCTGAAATGATTCTACATAAACATGATAATATAACAACATACAACCCTACGGAAATTTATATGAATGGGACTGCATAAAGCCATAATAAATAGCAGACGATATGTTTTAAGCAAGGACCTATTTTATCCCTATCACGGGATTTTAGCTTAGGTTGAATATATTATATAGTTGTTAAAACATACAGAACATTGAGGAGAAATGCTTACCACGGCGATCAGCTCCTGAAAATAGTGTGATTTCACTTGTAAGTAAAGTTCGATGAGTCCGTGGTCTTGTTTACACTGGATAGGACGGATCGTAACAAAACATAGCGCGCCAACTGTGATTTTACGAACAGTCACGAAGGTTTAGGTCACTTCGTAAAACTACTCGAGGCGATAGGACGTTTTCGGTGAAATTTGAATTTGCTCTTATTCTTAAAATAAACCGAATTATGGTCTCAAATTTCGCCAGTCGATAGAGTGGAGGACAGGCTTTCAAAATGTATAAAAATCTGAATTTCGGAAATTTGACAGAAAAAAGTGGTTTATGACGGTTCGTAAAATCAACGACGATATGATCCAAGAGATTTTGTCGAGATCTACAAGGTTTCCACTCTTATGACTTTTGATATCCAGTATAGTCATCCTAAAGCTTCATATACACTGTGCATACAGTATATACATGTAAATGTAACATACAATAATATCGGGTTCTATACACCAGTATGTGTACTGTATGTCTACTCAGTCATTTCCAGAAGTGGAAAAGACAAAAATCTAAGTAACACCAAATTACATTTTGCTGTAAGATTATTAGAAGCATTGCAAATAAGAGATATAAATAAATTTTCCCCTTGTTAAAATGTGTTTTGAATTTGTCAGGCATTAATTTCCCATATTCTTTCAGTGCTGTATATAGCCCTACCCAGAAATTAACATACAGTAATTACCGCCCACTTTATATTGATTTAAAGTGTAAGCATTTTTAGTTTCTGTAAAAGGTGAGAAAATTCTTGTTAACAATAGACATGGAAATAAACACAGGATTGAATGCATAAATATGTGTCATGTCGCATTGCAATAGGCATGGTTTTGTTGTACCTGACTACATGTGTACAGAAATGTAAATTATCTGTTTTCAGTATTGCCCTATTCTTAGGCTTGTTTATCTTTTCCATGTTGTATAGCAAAATAATTATAGTAAGAATATTTGGAATGAACAGGGGAGTATGTCAAGTTTTAGTCTATCCAGTCAGTAATATTGTACATTGTATCATTATGAAACATTAAAGTCACTGAGTAGTCGGCTCTCATGGGGAATTCGACACCGTTCGGGTGTTTACCCAATAACAGGTGTTGTCAATCACCAGGGTTAGCCTTGAGTTTTATGACCATTGGACCTTATGTAATGCTTTGATTTGCCCGAAGACTCTCGAGCTCTCCGAGAGATTAGGGGGTAATTCTTGACTGGACTATGGGTTTGCTGTGTGCAAATTTGTACCCCCATTAATGGTATTTCCACCAAGTCTGGTGTCAGCGAATTATGGCCTTCTGCACATGGAAACTGGCGATCCAATCCCTTTAATATATGAACAGATAAAATTAAATCACACAACTGTGTTAAATCATTCAACAGTTTAAAAGATCATACTCTTGTTTATTATGAATAAATCGTTCTTAACTCTTTTCATAAAATGATTAAAAATAATATGATGTATTCTTGATAAAATTTATATGTTCTCAGAACTCACCATATCTATCACTTAAGCTTGATCAGTAAAATTGTGGGATTATACAAACTGTATCTATCTAATATATTGTCACAATCATTTCAAGGAAAGAAGAGAGAAAAGTTTAATTCACACTTTAACCCTATCTAGCCAAGGGGGGGGGGGGGGGGAGGACTTTAAAAGCCCCCCTCCCCCCTCCCCCCCCCCCCCCCCCAGGCTATGCAGTTTCAAAAATGCCCAGGCTAGATAGGGTTAAGGGTCATGGTGTGTTTTGTAGCTATATTACTTCATTATTGTAATTGTGTTTCAGGCACAAAAGCATTAAAGATATTAGTCATAGATTTAAAGAATTCAACATTTGGGTGTATTCCCTTCTACGGCTCGCAAACAAGGAAACTGTGCAGCAAACCGTCATAATTCCATCGAAATACGCCCCACCCATTGTGAGTAATAGACCTCCCACACTGGTATTGATTATCAGGATTGTATTGATACTTTGAAAACAGATGTTGAATATGACCGTTGATGTATTTTAATATTTTGCTACCGCCTAATCCTTGCCCCTGTAGATATAGCCTTCTGAAAAATGATTGATTTATGCCATAAAGGCGTTAACTAATACACTTGAATACTGGTTTAGTGCCCTTCTGGCTCTCATCAGCAGAGTTGGTGATTTTTACATCACTTTGCAGTAATTTCTTGTAAATGCATTTGTTGAGAAACGTACATTTATTCCATCACTTTGCCTCTTGATATTGTACTACTGCTAACTTTGAAAGTTCTTTAAAATCATAATTTGTCTGTTTGGAGCCAGAAGGGTGCTAAATCTATAAAGTGGTAGGAGGTAACGTCTTTTTGGCTCCGAACATACAAATTGTCATCTCAGGAAGGATATCAATTGATCTGCAGTTCTAGGCATGCTTAGGCCTATGTACAAAGTCTTGGGAATTGCTGGAGTTAAATGGCTGCCAGTCCATTACTCTTTAAGGAAGTACATTTTATGGATTCTAGGAGATACAGAATTGATTAATCCACATTGAGATATTTGTGAATATTAGTATACTATAGATCATCTCAATAATGTATAGTACACAATACATACAGTCTATGAATTATTCATACCCCTTGTAAATTTGATATTTTTGGGTGTTTTTTTTCTTCATAACTCAAGAATGAGAGGTTGACTGGTTTTATAGAGCCTTTGTAGATGTAAGCATATAATTCACATTATTAAGAAACATAAATCAGGACAAATCAATCCATGCATAGCTATGTGATGAATTGTTAAAGTCTGAACCACAGGGGGGGGGGGGGGGGGGGGTCTATAATGCCTCCCCAACAGTGTTATAGTCCTGTGAACAACAACAAAAGGAACAAAACATTTTGTAAGCCCTTGGGGTGACCTTGGCTTTTGAACAAGGCACATCGATTACCTCTTTGTCTGATCCTATTGGAAGCTATTTTCTTTGATTTCTTTGTCTTTATCTTTACTACTGATATACAGAAATCTTTTACATGTTTTGTAACTGCTACCAATTGTTCAGTGCAAATTGCTGTTGTGTTTGCATGAGACTGTAGTATTTTCCTCATTTCATCTTTCTTCATTTCTCAATTTCATTTGTTACTTTACAAACCCAATTTGGGAGGACATTGCCCTCTGACTTATGCCAGGCACTGCCACCCCTATATATTTATCAACAAGTGTCAGCATAATGGCTTCAATGTCCCTGTACCTGGTAATCACCAGTGACTCATTCTCCCTTCCCAGAAATTGGTATAGAACCCTTTTTGTTTTATCCTGCCTCCCAAGAAGGATGAAAACAACTTCATACTCTCCAACTTTCTTCACCACTACACTTCTCATAGTTCTTCGATGAAGTAACACGTCAATATGAGAATGTCACCTCTACCATCACAATTTGCTCAATGCATACACAAGGAGCAAATCCTTCTACAATTCTAACCTCCTGCATTTCAATTGGAGAATTCTCTTCCGTGCCTATCACCTCTTGTATGGCACATCATCTCTTTATCCTGCCGTCTTCAAAGGACGGGCAGTCTTGCAGTGGAACGCTTAAATCAGGAACCGACATGGCTCCTGATTCTCCGCTGGGAGCTGCTAGCTGCTTCGTTCCGGTAGCTCTCTTCACACCCGAGCTCGATTCACTGTAGCTCGTCTGAACTTTCATCAACGAGTCCATCTCACTGCAACTCTGATGATTTCACTTCAAAGTCCGGCTCATCGATCCAGCATCGAGCGACTCACTGCTCTTCACGATCACCACTATACCGGCTTTGATGTCTGCATTTCAACCTGGGCCTCCGACATCGAGCGACTCACTGCCTCGTCGTCGAGCGCCACATCTCTTCTCTTTTCTTCTCGCCCGAGCGCTACATTCATCATCATCATGAGCGTCGGCATCGACATCGCGTTCTTCTCGGCTCTTCAGCCACGTCAACGAAGTCGCGTTTCCATCATCAAGCCTCCGCACAATCATCGCGTGAGCCCCTTTCTTCGTTTCATCCGTCATCATCTTCATGGACTTTCGACGTCATTTCTACCATTGTCGTAAGCTCTATTTATTCATCGCATTTGATTTATTCATGTCCATCTCATACATGACCATTTAAACTTCGTGCAATATCCACGATCCTCATTAATGTGATTCTCATTCTGAATCATTTATTTGCTTGCATGACTACACTTTGCAAGTGTTGTGTCTGCAAATCAGTACCCAATAAAATAACGAAAAGGGAATACTTTTTATCATGTATTTTATTACCAGTGCAACCTTGTTTCCTTGTAGTTAAATTTAAAAGAGAGTTATGTTGTGTGATCAGTGAACACGCCTTTACAATTTCCATTCACAATTCATCTACACACTAATAATTCCATAAGACCAATCAATGCATCTATCTTCCCCAATATTTTTGTCAAGTTGATTGATTGTGGGAAAAAGAGAACATTTTGAAAGAATACTGCATGAGTGCATGATACCGGTAGCATGGCTTTAAAGGGGGCTCTGGATTTTCCCTTTTAGAGTCTGTGAGCATGAGCCCTACGGTATGTCAAAATTATGACATTTCTGGGTCAGAATCTTTATTTTAGGTGCCCATGTGTCCTGCATGCCTGTTAGTGTCTAGCCCTGCTTTTAGAGTTAATTTTGATAGTGGTATAGAATTCAATCAAATTCAAGGTTATACTTTATTAAAAGAGAAGGATATACAATCTAATTGAAAGACTCAATATAATTGGATATATCAGGGGAGGAGAATGATGCAGTGCAATCATTCTTGCATTCGCCGGAATATATCGACCAGAATTTTAAATCATTCTATCTTGCTAGGCTAGATCAAGAGTGAACAACAGAAGAGTGATGTTGGTCGGCATGGTAACAACGATGTAATAAAAAAGTGCACTTGCTTTTATTTTGCAAAAGTGTATAAATTACAATTGACAATTGGAAACATCATATACTTAACACAATGGGGGCACACATCCCTGAACTGTAAAAGATTATAGTAATTTAGAGGAAAGGAAATCAGACAAACACAATAGTGGGAATTAGTCAGGGCACGTACCCCTGAAAAAAAATCTTCTTGTACATCATCTAAATGTATTATTTAGTCAATGAAAATGTGTTGTTCTCTTATAATCAGTTCAATCAATTTATTACTATTCCCAATTAGTTGTGAAGTTTTCTCAATATTCATTCAATTTCCAACAAAACAGCTGTGACAGGATTGAATGATAACAAGCTTAGTTCTCAAGTTAGAGAATGAGAAAATCTGAATTATATGAGGCTTGTCATTTGATAAAGATGACATTTATTTATTCATTTGTTCTTTCCTTCATTCATCCTTTTTGGAAGTCAGGAAATCACCATCTAAGTTAAATAAAAACTGATATCACATCTTTTTATTAACTGTAAATCTAAGCATACCAGGAGCTCTTGTAGCGCAGTAGAATATATACTTAATATTGGATAGTTTCTGTGCTCTATGAATGTATTATTATTATCATTATCCATGTTTTCTTTGAAAAAGCAGAGTAGTCCCATTCAGAGCCGCTGAGGACCTGCTATACAAGGAAGCATTAGTCATATAATTACATCGTGAAAGAAACTATCGGGATGCATTCATCTTCCCTTCTAATAGTTCCTGCCTTGGAGTTGGAAGTTTAATTCAGGCATGCACACTGTTGATTCAGATTATTTGATAAGCTCATCCTTTCATGGTACATGACCAAATAAATGTTAGTATTACCTTGTAAAAACAAAATATGAATACAAAAATAAGAAAAAAGACCAAAACCCCCAAAAAGGCAAATGCAAAGGAACAGAAGGCATCAAAACCAGAAGAAATTTATGCTCCAGTTATTTTCACTTTACATTTTCGTAACATATATGACCAATCGGTGAAAAAGTCCTTTTGATAAATCTTCACATCTGTCCAAACATCTTTGGGCTTATCTCAACTATTGATGAAAGAAGTTCAGTTCAACTGTCATAACAATTTCTTTTGTTCATTTGTTTATCTCTTTTCATCTCACAGATTTTACAATGCTAGTTTAAAGAGAATTGGAGGGAAAAACAACCGACGCGATTGTGAGAAACGTGGACACGTAACAATGACTAGGCGTGAAAATCTCCTGTGCAGCTGTGTGTGTTCCCAATGCCATGGAGGACGTTTCTCAGCACCTCCCAACGAAAGACCAGATCCATTTAGGAGGAGGACCGAGGTTGGTCTAAGCCCAGCGAACTGTCGCTTTACGAGAACTCTGTTTACCAAAATGGCAACCCATCAGAGATTACAGGGACTTAAATTGCATGTTTTAGTGCTGCTGGCAGTGCTAACTTTTATAGGACCAACTCCAACACAAGGTAAGCAATCTTTAGTCATTTTGTTTACTAATTTTCCTAATTTTCCTACATGATTAGCAGGGTGGTAGATTAATATCACAATAGCAAAGACTTTTGAAAAATTAGCCTCGGGCGTTTTAAAAGCCTTGTGTGTTGTATTTTGAAATGTGGGAACAATTATGAAATGACACATTAAATACAAACATGATTTTTTTTTTAAAGGAAATACCTGGGAAATACAATGGGCTATTGAAATTGCCTACAAGTTGATTACTTGAAAGTTTTTGAGATTGTCTATGAATATTGACTATACAAAAGATATTGATTCTGTTCAATAGCTTCCTTTCAAATATAATGTGAGGGATTCTGATCCAAATGCACATCCTCTGCGTTTTGAGATAGAGATAAAGAACGTTTTTGGACAGTTACTGGAGGAGGGAGATAAAAGAGAGAGAGAGAGAGGGGGAGAGAGAGGGGGGGGGGCAGTGTTGATTGCATGATTGGTGGATCATGTGATTGATGAGAGAAAGATAGAGAGAGAGAAATAATGTACAAGTTGAGGAAGGAGATCAGGAAGAGATGGATGTATTTATCGCATGAGTGTTCATAAAGAGAACAAAAAGTAGGAGAGGAGAGAGAGAGATATTGATGATCAATTAATCATTGCATTGATCAGGAAGGAAGAGAGAGAGAGAGAGAGAGAGAGAGAGAGTTAAAGAGATAGATAGAGAGAAAGATAAGAGAGAGAGAGAGAGAGATAAAGAGATAGATAGAGAGAAAGATAAGAGGGAGAGAGAGAGAGAGAGAGAGAGAGAGAGATACAGAGATAGATAGAGAGAAAGATAAGAGAGAGAGAGAGAGAGATAAAGAGATAGATAGAGAGAAAGATAAGAGAGGGAGAGAGAGAGAGAGAGATACAGAGATAGATAGAGAGAAAGATAAGAGAGAGAGAGAGAGAGATAAAGAGATAGATAGAGAGAAAGATAAGAGAGATAGATAGAGAGAAAGATAAGAGAGAGAGAGAGAGAGAGAGATAAAGAGATAGAGAGAGAGAAAGATAAGAGAGAGAGAGAGAGAGAGAGATGTGTGTTTGTTGGAGAGAAAGAGGAAGAGAGATGTATAGGAAAGAGGAAGATACCTATTTATCTAAAAATTGGTCATGGCACGAATTGTCACAAGTGAGAAAGAAAAATAAAGCAAAAGAAAGGAAGTATGAAAGGGTGAGCTAAGAAGAAGTAGTGAGATAATAAACTGTGAATACAGAAGACTAAATATTTCAAATGAACACAGCATAGTGGTCATGGAAGTTCATAGTTGTCTTCATTTTCATATATCTCTAGCAATAAAATATTCCGTAAAGGTAGATATTTATCTCTAGTATTCAACATAGCCCATTCCAGTGATATTTATAGAATTTGACATTATCGGATATTTATGAATATAACAACAAATTATGTCATAGTGGTTTCAGGATGCGAAAATATAAATTGGATTAGTTCGCCTAATCAAAGCAGATTTCTGGATGTAGTTCAGATTTGAATGCAATCCGTGCATATGCTTGTGCATGAATCATATAATACAGTAGGTACTACAAGTTGGAGGGAGTAAACATGTAATGATTTTTAACACACCTCACACGGATCACACCAGCGCACTCAATTTAATCAATACATTCTTACCATTGAATTATCGCCCAAATGCAGATAAACAATATATCTGCTTGTATTTATCATCATATATAACACTCTTTTTCTCTCTTCTCTCTCCCTCTCTCTCTCTCCTTTCTCTCTCTCACTCTCTTTCTCTCTCTCTTTCTCTCTCTCTCTCTCTCTCTCTCCTTTTTCTCTCTCTCACTCTCTTTCTCTCTCACTTTCTCTCTGACTTTGAGGGCTTTGGATAATTCACCTAGTATCATCCTTTGCCTATCAACATCTGTATCTTTTAATGTAGAACCTTTTAAACATGGGGGTGGGGGGGGGGGGGGGTACATCCTGCCATCAAAAAAATGTCCAACATTTCTACCCATATAATTACCAAATCTCTCTCTCTCTCTCTCTCTCTCTCTCCTATCCCCTCCCTCTCTTTTTTCTCTCTCTTCCTTTTTGGAAGTTTCTCTCCTTGTTCTCTCTCTCTCTCTATCTCTATCTCTCTATCTATCTCTCTCTCTCTATTCCCCCTCTTTCTGTTTCCCCTCCCACTTCCCTCCATTTCCTTGTTTCCATCCTGGTCCCTCTCACACCTGTTTTCTCGTTCTTACCGCCTTTCTTTCATTATGAATCTTTAACATCTCACAATCACATCAGATTCTTTGTGATGACCATGAACCTCTGCGATTTATCTGCTCAAAATGAAATATAAACATTTTAGTTAAAAAAAAATTTAAAAAAAAGAAACCTAGAGCACAAACTACACATGACATTTTGTAGCTGGACCTTTTATTGATCACTTATTTATGAAGTCACACAGCAACTAGAATATGTTCAATTTTTAAAGCTGAATTGTGAAAGATGTTTCATAAATTGCAATACCCAGTCTGAATCAACAAGTGGGCTGTCTTTCAAGCAGAGCCACGAGTAACATGGACACTGCACACATTATGTTCTACTTGTGTGACTGTCAGAAAATTGTACGCTCATGAACACTGTACACAAGGGATGGGAGGATGATAACAAGTCTTGTAATAATGATGTTGAAAACACTTCTGCAGCCAGAGCATTATTATGTACCTTCATGTAATAGCAACGCATGGGTTGCTATGGCAACAGGTGGAACTAAGGTCAGACACAATTAAGAAAACCATGACGAGATATCACCGTCAGATAATAATCTAACGAGGCCAAAAAATGTTTGATTCATGTACATATAAGGCAAGCTGAAGCCAAGTGAAATGAATTGTATTCTTGTTCAACAGGTTATGAAAAAAGGGAGTGGTTTCTTCTCTCAATAATTTTACAATTTAGAAAAATTTCTGGCAGTATATGCTAGAACGGTGCCATATTGTTTGTAAAAGCAATTTCCAAGAAGCCCCACGGATGATGGAACCCATTCCATACACAATTTGAAAATAAAATTTCAATATTGATATTCAACAGGTTGAGAAAAACTGTATTGTTTCAAAAAGCAATTACCAAGAAACTCGCTAAGTGATGGAACCAATTCCTATTCAACAGCTATGAACATAAGAAGTGTTTTTCTCTCTCAATATTTTCATAATTTAGAGAAATGCCATTATTTGTTACTAAGGTGCCATATTGTTTGTAAAAGCAATTTCCAAGAAGCTTGGCAGGTGATGGAGGCCATATTCAAAACACAAGAAGGCCATTAAGCCCCAGTCCCATATAAAGCCGGACCAGCACGGACGAGCACGGACCACTCCGGACCATCCCGGACCATGGTCTGGGGTGATCCGGGATGGTCCGGGATGTTTTGTTCAAAAAAAGTGTGATGCTTTTAAGCTACAGTCCCATATATGTCCCGGACCGTCCCGGACCATCCCGGACCCCATCCGGGGTGATCCGGGATTCGGTCCGTGTTGACACCGTGTTGGCACCGGGGTGGTCCTGGATGGTCCTGGATGGTCCTGGATGGTCCTGGATGGTCCTTGGCGGTCAATAACTCACTCCCGGACTGCCACGGATCAACACGGACCGCCCCGGCGCCACTACGGATGACCCCGGACCCAGCACGGTGGCTACACGGATCACCCCGGATCAAACTATTGTCCCGGACCGTCCCGGACCACCCCGGCAGTTTTTGACCGTCAAAAACATCCGGGGTCGACTCCCGGACCGCCCAGGACCATCCAGGACCATCCAGGACCACCCCGGTGCCAACACGGTGTCAACACGGACCGAATCCCGGATCACCCCGGATGGGGTCCAGGATGGTCCGGGACGGTCCGGGACGTATATGGGACTGTAGCTTTACTGCCATTGACAATATATGTACATAGCCAATGAAGTATTTTGTCTGCTGAGAGACAATTTTTAGGAAGTCAAGTTATATGTACTCTTCAGGTTTATTGGTACATGTATATGTAATGACATATGTATTGACATGTACATTTACTTAAACTTTCCTTAAGGCCACTATTCATAGGGGTGTCCTTTGCATGCATGTCTCACTGTACATCATATGCAAATTGATATTGAGATCCAGTGTAAAAAGGGACCACTGAAAATAAAATTCCATTGTTATATAATGAGATGGGTATAGATGACCAAATAATTCATTTGCATACCTGGAAGATCAAAAATCAAAGCTATTGATTTTGTTCCAAGTTGCCTTGCCCATGTCGCTGGAAAACACTCCCTGTTTTTACTGACCAGAAAGTTCATAAGTGCATTCAATCGTTTATGCTGGCCTCACATAGTTGTGGTCATTTATTGATTATTCATTGATTATTCATGCTGGTCAGTGGCCAAAGTGAATGTATAGTTGGTCATCTGTAATATAATGCCAGAGGCTATTTCTCAGAAGAAGTAAAAACAATGATTACAGTCCAATTGGTGATAAAGGATTGATATAAGGTCAGATATTACCATTGCGATTGGTTTAAGATGAGATTAATGAGTTTTATTGATTATTCACTCTGGTCAGTGGCCAAAGGGAATGTAGTTGGTCATCTGTAATATAATGCCAGAGGCTAGTTTTTAGAAGAAAACAATGAAAAAAACAATGATTACAGTCACATTGGTGATAAATGAGTGGTAACGGGTTAGATATTAGCATTGCGATTGGCTAACAAAAGTTGAATATGGCAGCCTGTCTGCGAGTGCTGCTAAAATAAAGGTTAAGTCAAAGCCATGCTGAAATATTTTTTTTTACCAATCAACATTTATATCATGCAGACACGGGATTGATTATAAAATGACTGGGACCTCGTTACTTAGGAGCCATGCACATTAAGATTACATTAACTCTGAAGTGATTCTAATGGAATGTGAAGCATCTAATCAATATTGCCAATGAGGGGGAATGTTAAAGCAGCAAAAGGTCAACTGATTGTCCGCAAGGTCAGT